CGATTGGGGTGGCTGTAGAGTGACACTCAATCATACCAGCCCGCTGGAGAAGATCAACTGCATACTGCCGCTGTGACAGGAAAAGACCGTCAGCAGAACGAGTGACAGAAATCCCGAGGAAGTGATGAAGGTCCCCGAGATCAGTCATGGCGAACTCTGAGTTAAGGCGCTAAGTAATATGTCGAAGAAGAGCAGGCAAGGATGTTGTGAGGACAATGTCGTCGACGTAAAGTAATAGGTAAGCAACACTGGTGCCCTCCTTGAACACAAAAAGAGAAGTATCTACACTGAAGCGACGAAGCCCAAGGTCTGAATGAAGGTAGCGAATCGTTGGTGCCATGCCCGAGGTGCCTGCTTGAGCCCATACAAAGACTTCTGTAACAAGCAGACATGGTCAGGTGCAGCCGAGTCGACGAATCCAGGTGGCTGCTGGCAGTAAACAGTCTCATTGAGATGACCATGAAGAAAGGCGTTCTTGACATCCAACTGATGAATTGGCCAGGCACGAGACGCAGCAATGCTGAGAACAACCCGAATCGTTGCTGGCTTAACAACTAGACTGAAAGTCTCTTCGTAGTCAATGCTATGTTGCTGAGAAAATCCTCGAACAACCCACCGAGCTTTGTGATGAGCAAGAGAGCCATCAGAGTGATACTTATGCTTGAAAATCCACTTGTTGGAGACAATGTTGGCACAAGGAGGCCGTGGTACGAGTCGCCAAGTGCCATTGTCAACAAGTGCCTTGTATTTGTCCACCATTGCGGCACGCCAATTGGGATCAGCAAGGGCGCTGCGATACTTGGCAGGAAGCGGTGAGGCATGCGTGGCGGAGTAAGTCAGGCGTTCCGGCGGAGGCAGGAGCGTTCCAGTCTGTTGCAGTGTCACACGACGCGATGGAGTAGCAGGGACCGGCTCAGGTGCGTGAGCCGGCTGAGGCGCCGGTGGAGGAGCCGGTGAAGGAGGCGCGACCTGTGCCTGGGGCACAGATGACGGTCGAGGACGCCGGCTGTACTGGAAGAGCACCGGCGGGCGTGATGCAGCAGGTGCCGGCAGACGTGCTACTCCCTGAGCAGCAGGTAGGACATCGCCAAGGGGAGCCGGTGTAGGGGCAGCAGCAGGACCCTGAAGGACCGGACCGTGCCAGAGGATGGCCGGGTCCAGATCCAGGGTGTTGTCGTCATCGAAGGTCGGCCGAGTAGATAGCCGGCCCGGAGCGCCAGCAGGAGAAGCTGGCACAGGTGCAGGAAGACGATCCTGTAATAAAAAATCAAGTGACTCCGTAGGTGGTTTGGCAACCGCAAACGGAAAGTGAGTCTCATAAAAAATCACGTGACGGGAGACGATGACTTTGCGAGTGGAGAGATCGAGACAACGATAACCCTTTTGTGAAGAGGGATACCCGATGAACACGCAAGCTGATGAGCGCGGAGCCAATTTATGAGGTGTCGTGGCACTAAGATTTGGGTAGCATAAGCAACCAAAAACTCGAAGCAAGGAGTAGCCAGGCATCTTGTGATAAAGGAGGTGATAGGGAATACCATTATTGATGGAGGAAAACGATCGCCGATTGAGTAGAAGAACGGCGGTGGCTAAGGCTTCGGCCCAGTAAGCAGGCATGGCGGCATGAATCAAGAGGGTGCGAACGATATTGTTTAGCGTGCACAACATTCATTCAGCTTTCCCATTTTGAGCAAACGTGTAAGGGCAAGAGGTGCGAAGAAGAATGACGCGGCTAGCAAGGAAGGTAGATGTGGCATTGTTGATGAACTCAGTGTCGTTATCCGCCTGAAAACACTGGACAGGCAGGCTAAATTGGGTGTAAGCATAATTGGTAAAATCAACAATATGTGTATGAACCTCTGATTTATGCCGAAGAGGAAACGTCCAGTAATAATGACTATAATCATCAACAAGCACAAGATAATATTTAAATCTAGACACGCTAAGAACCGAAGACGTCCAGACATCACAATGAACAAGTTGAAAAGGTGCTGAGCAGCGAGACGATGAACTAGTAAAGGGCAGCCGTGTGTGTTTGCCAAGTTGACAGGCGTGACAAATACCACGGGCTGCATTATTACAAGAGATAGCTGAAAGTTTATTAAGGGTAGCTATGGCTGCAGGTGCTGGATGACCAAGACGTGAATGCCACAATGAGGAGGAGATGGCGGCGACATGACAGGCTGCAGCAGGCTTACTGGAATGTGGAAGGGTGTAGATCTCCCCGCCACTATTGCAACGCAGAATCTCGGTCTTGGTCTGCAGATCCTTAACGCAGAACCACTTGGTGTAGTTCGGCAGCTTGAGATCAGGAGTGATCGGCACGTGCTGGCACACGTTGATGGTGGCGTAGGAGAAGCTCACAGGAGCAGGGGCGTCTGTCAGGGCCGGCATGATGGGGATCCAGAGATCCCAGAGGTCGCGGTCGAGGAGGATCCATTGGTGGCCATAACAGCGAGGGGGGAGGGGGGCGGCGCCGGGAGAGGTAGGGCTAGGGCAGAGGAAGAAAGGATCGGCCCGGTCTATGATACCATATAGAGAGACAATGCACCGCACACCCAATAAGAGGGTGGCCTTTCATATATATATATATATATATATAGCCGAGAAGGCTTGGAGTACAAGTATACGAAGTACAATACAAGTCAGGCTATACATATCTATTTATATCTCTAATATACAGAACAAACATCAGAGCCACAAACACCTGTACTCACAATCTTAACAAATTTTTATGGATCTAAAAAACAAAAATGCAATTCTAGAAAAAAAAATCTTTGTCATTAAGAACTGCATAATACTGTGTTATCAAACTTTACTGCGTCAAATACCTGCTTTGATTGGTATCGGCATCCCACATGCAAGGACCTACAGCAGAGGCTGAAAGAACCTTCCTGGAACCACCCTTGTCAATGACAGAGTGGTGGGTATGAACCGGATTTGTAGATAGCCCCGCCATAGAATGCAAGGGTCTTGCAGTTTGACGGATATCAAATACCAAAACCGTGCCGTTCTGCATAGATCAACAAACCAATTCATATAACATAGCAAGCACATCAATAAAGCTTCAGATGAGATAATGAAGGATTAACCTGCAATCCAGCATAAATATGATGTGAACCGGATGGACCTACTGCATATGACCAACCAGGAGCCTGCACGGTATTATTATAGAAATATCAAAAAATAAGGTACAATATCTGTATATGCTGTCACCTAATTTGCCTATTCAAAGTTTCATCCAGTGAGGTTCACCAAGGTGGAAAAAAAGTCAAATATCTGGAAAAAAAAACTATTGTAGATCTTTAATTTTAAAGCAAATAAAAGATGGTAGGGGAGGTCCCAACAAACGCACTCCCATATGCTTATTCTGTTGTAGATTTTACAAGGGCCTTCTTGGAACAATAAAATGAGACAATAGCATTAGGTGCAAGTGTTTAGAAGCAAGTTCAGATAATTACCGGCAAATCCCAATTAAGAGCACCGTTGTCAGTTGTCATGCTGGTTCCAAAATACATGATTGGGAAGTGTTAGAAAGAACTATGGTGAAACACAGTATCAGGCAATTAGGGGAAAACAGTATAAACCACTACTTCCACAAACTCAGCACAAACCTGAGAAGTGATAGCTTCTTTCCTAGTGACGTAAAAATAGCAGAGCCACCTGGCAGGATACACATATCCCTAACAGCTTTGGTATCGGGAGGAAGATGGATTTTGCGTACTTCATGGTTGGACAGCATGTTAATCTATTGGAACAAAAAAAAAACAATAGAGTGAATAATGTAAATCTAAAGGTGATAAGAATAAGCACCACAGTTCATCTGGCACTGCAGAAACTTTAAACTGTATACCTTGGTAAGAACATATTCAGCACCTATAGCAGTTGCCCTTCCAGAAACAAGTATTATTTGGTTAGATGCATCTATGCTGATGACTCGAGCTCCATCCACAGGTAATTCATTCTGCAAAAACATTTTTGACATTTGAAACAACATCATCAATTTAATTTAGGATGAAAAAAAAGGAATTACTCTCTCCGTCCCAGAAAGGATGGAATTCTAGGGTTCAAAACATGTCCCAGAAAGTATGTAAACGTAGTTGTACGGCATCAACTTTTTAGCGTGGGACCCATCCGTCTAAACAAAGCACCGAATGCATCCACCACACAACATCCCAGTCCATGCATCTCACGGTTATTCTCATCCACACGCTACACACCACCGGACTCCTACACTTTCTAGAAACATAGAAGTGCTCACATTGGAACTCTGTAGAAGTGCTCACATTCACCAAATGCCAAGGGCATATGCGTAATTTTACGTCACTACTAATCTAACATTGAAACTCGAGATTTCCATCCTTTTAGGGACGGAGGAAGTAATATTTACTGCAATGGAATCGAACAATTATATTTCCTTTTTTTTTGGGTGGGTGGTGGTGGGGGCGGGTGTCAAACAATCAAATAATCCCAGATGCCCTGGCTCTATAAATCCATGAAATCTCCTACTTAACTTTATTTACCAATTTGCCATAGTTGAATCAAGGTACACATAATTACTCTCTAATAAAGCCATGAAGTCAAACCTCACAAATAGTGAAATACACGAGTACGAGATATGACAATGTCATAGTGAAATATTTCATGAGAAGTGGAAAGAAATTAAATTCCTAAGTGTTGAGCAAACGCGGGCAAATGGGCACAAAAATAACACACGGTATGCTATTATGAAGCAACTAAAATTTTGAAAGAAAATCTGCAGCTGGTGTTTTATGAATAGTTACCTGTAAGCTAAAACTTATCGTGGCTGGGATAGACGATGGCTCCAAATTTGCAGCTACATGAGTGCTCAGCCACCTTCTGTAAAGAGGAACCAAAAGAATATTTAAGTAAAATACCTTACAATGATTAATCATTGAAAACTTAACTGTCATTACCTGTCTCTTATTTAAGTAAAATACCTTACAATGATTAATCACTGGAAACTTAACTGTTATTACCTGTCTCTTTGAGCTAACACCATCTATTATTCCCTGCTCCGTATCATTCTGCTTCTGCAACTTAAGTGCAAGGCACATGTCACCGTTAAATGACAGCATAAAGTTCCAGTTGAAGTGACAACCAGCAACTTTGTAATGTGAACAGAGAAGCAAGCAGCCAAATGTAGCTAGACAAACCTTGGTCATCTCCTCAAACATTTTATCATTGTGCACAACATTTCCGGCAAGAAAACACGCACAAGTTAGAAAAATTATAAATAAATACTAGAAGCATACAAAATATTTCTTGTGGTAAACTCATGTTGCTGAGAAGGAATGTACAACTAGAAGCACAAGGACCACGTAGATGCATGCATATTGGTATCGAGTTGAGTTGAGATCCATATCGTCTGATCCATCAGTCAAGTATGTAAGCCCACACAACAGCATACGTACCTCTTGCTCCTCCACCTCCACGGCCACGGCGACGCTGACGACCTCCTCGCCGTCGCCGGTGTCCCTGCTCCTTCATCTCCGTCATTGTTTGTGGAGAGGCGATTTGGGAGGAGGAGGAGGAGGAGGAGGAGGAGGAGGAGAAGAGAGGCGTGCAGTGGGAGGATTTTAGTCCTTGGCTAGGGTTTGTAAGAGGTGGCCTCAGGTCCTTTGAAATTTAAAGGCCGGGCGCGTAGTAGGTAGGGTAGTACTGGTAGCTAGCAGCTCCGCAGGTTGAGACTAAGTAGCTTGAGGACTCGGAGCACGTTCGGCTGATATTAAAGTCGACTGATAAGTCAACTGAAGCTGTTTTGTTGTGAGAAAAAATTATTGTAGATTCTAGCTGATAAGTCGGCTGATAAGTTCAAAACGAAATGGCCCCATACTTGTACACTACCAAAAGCTAGCTAGTACGTTCATGATCACCGTGTACTACCACGTACACGTATACGCACGGCGTGCATATACAGTAGCTGCTTATTAGTTACCTGCTAGCTAGGTAGTACTAGTAGACTACTAGTACGTCAGCCAGGTACGTTGTAGGCAGGCACGCATGTGCGTGCACTAGTTGAAAGCTAAGACGACGGATGGAGCAGACTGCTGTGCTTGTGCTGGACACCACCACCACGACGACGACGGAGCAAATTAAAGGTGATGATTGATCGATTCAATCCCCATTACAAGTCTTGCTCCATATGGTTCCATATTCTCCTTTCAATAATGAGCTCATCACTTAATTATGCGATGCAATGCGCTTCTTCATAGCTAGAGAATATTGCTCTCCAACCAACTATATATGGCGCCAAAACTTTGTTTTTGTCACTGCCACTAACTATAGATAATAATGTACAGCATTGTAGGAAATCCATTGTGTAGGACGAAGGTTGTATTTTTTTGGCAAAATTTTATAAAAAATATAATATCCCAGCCCAAGGAAAAAAGATATTCCAATGGTCATCATGACAAGTCTAGTAGTTAACCATACCAGTGCAACCACACTTAATTATAAATTGATCCATGTAGGAATCTTGATCCCTGTACTTTTCCTTTACCAATCCTACAATCTAATAAATGGGCCCTAAGAGTTTCATTACCATTTAACGAGGAGGGACATCAGGAAAAAAATGATGGTGTACCATAGGAATTATAAGGAGAGAGATAAAATGAGTTTCAATTCATTACGCATTAGATTCTAATACTGTCTAATGAAAATACATGAAGTATGCATGCATGATGTCCAAGCAATTTAATCTAATTTAATTTTCCTAATTAATAAGGACTCTTATATATATAGTCCTGGCCACTTAAGGTGCCTTTGGTTCGCGGGATATCCACGATGGAAGATTATGGCGGTCAAAAATTTGTATGTGTTTGGTTCGATCACAACATGGATAGGATGGATAGGACGGCTAGGTCCAAAATTTGTATGTGTTTGGCTCGGTGACAATATGGATGCGACGACTAGGCATTAAGGTTTACTAGGCATATGTAATATTGATTGATTATGGTGGATAAAGTTGCCACCACCGTCGAGGCTCAGGCCGTCAGGCGGCCACCGCCCGCCGCCGCCGCCGCGCAGCCTGCGCCGGCCGCCACTGCCTACTGTCGATGCCCCAAGCGGCCAGGTCCGCCCCCTGCCCCTGCTGCGGACGGAGAAGGCCACGCGGCCAGGGGCAGCCGGCGCCCGGCAGCCGACAGCGCCCGCCCGATCGCCCCTCTTTGGTCCCGCCCGGCCTGCTACTCTGCTCCCTCCCTCCGGCCCTCTTCAGTTCTGAGCCAGTGGTACGTACGAGTTCAGATTTCATTTTTCTTGTTCTAATTATTAATTTCTATTCAATTGAATGATGGATTCATGGATGTACTCAGCTATAGGTTCTTCAAAATGAAGAGGACCATGTCTTTGCAATTGTATTTTCATCTTATTCACATCGATAGCTTGACGAGGACATGGAAGATGTGAATGGACCACATCACTAGACACTGGTATTTATCTTCATCTTATCATGTCTCACTGGACACTGGTATTTATCTTCATCTTATCATGTCTATCGTACAATATTTTTAGCTTTTTAGAGGCTCTAGTCTTGAGTAAAACCTGGATCTCATATAATTATGTTGTGACAAAAATTAAATAAATGATAAGTGGGTTCTGTATGACATAATCAATATGGCTATTCTCGTCCATGAAACCAAACATAAAAATAACTCTTCTCGTGGTATGTATCTAACCAAACATAAAATTGGTTTTTCCTATTCATCCAACCAAACACGCGACATGGATAACCACGTCTAAAAATCCATAGATACACGTATCCATCAACCTTGCGTCCTTGCCCTTCAATCAAAGGCACCTTTAGCCAGTGAGAGAGAGAATACGTAGTTTATAATAATAATACTACTGATTAAGCTTCATCCAGTGCAACCACACTTATTAGTTACCATCATCGTGCCAAGTCTGGTACAGTATGATACTCGTACTCCTGTATTAGTATACTAGCTAGTAGCAGTAGACAACAGTGCTTGCAACAGGTAGAGCTAGCTGAATGCATGCATGAATTCCATTTCCATCACATGATGAGGCAGAGCAGAGCCGCCACGATGAAGACGAGAATTCCGAAGCCCAACTCCACGGCCACGCTGCTGCTACCCGCCGGAGCACCTGCTGCCTCCGCCACGGCTCCATCTCCATCCCCATCCTCTGGAGCGACGTCGGCTACCAGAGGCGCATCGATCCTCCAAGCCAGCCCGATGCGCTTCCAGGCTACGGCTCCGTTTCTCCACGAAAAGCCTGCTGCTGCTGCTGCTACTTCGGCGTTCGGGTTCCTCCGAGCTACAGCTACGTCTGCAGCTTCGTTCATCCAGGCTATGGCGTCCGCTGCAGCCTCCTGCAGGTCGTGCCCATGACCCGCCTGCTGCTGCCATTGCCGTGCCGCCGCCTCGTCTGCTTCCATCGCTGCAGCCTCGTCATGCGCCCGTGCCTCTTCTTCCTCTTGCTGTTGCTCCTCCTCCTCCTCCTCCTCCTCCGTTGCAACCTGTACGGTGATCGAACGAACGTGTTCCCGATTCCCATTCATGTATGTAGGAAAGGAAAACTTAACAACAAGCAATGTAATGTAATGCAAGAGGAAGCTAGCTAGGGAAATCAAGCAACAAACCTGCTGTTGTTCCAACAGATTCTCCGTTGCCCCGTACAGGTTGATCATGTCGTCGCGCCTGAACTCTTGTCCGCACCACAGGCACTGCAAAGTGCAAAAAAATAAAGATCGATCGACAGCCGTTGTCAGTTCCATCTCTAGGAAACACGAAACAGATAGAAAAGATACTAGATAGATAAAGGACCGGAGGCATCTTAATTTCGGTGGTTTTCATTCAATTGGGGAATGAAGGCGAATTACGTACCTTAGCAGCAGCAGGCGTGCCTGATGATCTGGTTGTGGATCTGGATTGGGATCGGGCCAGCCATAGCTCCAGGCAGGATCTGCCATACACATGCCCACACGGGATGCAGCTGCAGCAGGCCAAGGATTGATTACATCGATTGAAATTTCATACTAGGCTACTACTACTAGTAGTAGTAGTACTAACAAACAAAACACTGCTGTTTGATTTCCATTTCTCTCTTTCTTTCTTTTTGTTTAGAAAAAAGCGGTTTGCTTGAATGCAATCTAGTATTAATTAATTTCAGCAAAAGATCGACACTGACTGACTAAATGCAAATGCAACCAACCAAATTGATCGAGAGATGGAGCAGCATGCAGAGCACAATATATGTACTACTAATCTGTCGTACACTGTTCTTTACCCCAAGTAGAAGAAGCAGGTTGAGCACGTATCTTGGGCAACCGGCCGCGTACTCAGGGCGACACGTAGAGCGTGGCTGGGGCTGTGCCGGGTGCAGCAGCAGCTGTGACAGGTGCGACCACGCGCGGCAGCGGTGGGCGCAGATGGCGGAGGCGTCGGAGACGTCGACGCCGACTGAAGGGGGACGACACGGCTGCGGCAACGAGTGTCACCACCGACAGTCACGGGCGATCGACAGGGGCCGCCCAAACGGCATCGGACTTCACCTCGGTCGCTGCTGGAACTGAGGCAAGGCACAGTGGGCTGACCAACGCGACGGGCATGGTTGAACCCGACCTGTTGACACTTACATTGTACCTGGACGCCACGCAGGATCACGACATCTCGGAGGACCCGATGGTTGAGGAGTTCGCAGCCTCGCTCGTCGGCAGTCAGATCGTCGCGTGGCCTTCCCTTGAGCACCTCCCGTCAACTTTGGCGACCCCTCAGCTTCCGGATGAGGCACCGGCGGTGGCGGCCCCCCAGCTGGAGGATGCAGTAGCCTCCTGTGTGCTGCGGACACCACCCCCACGCCCCATTCAGTGGACTCGCCGAAGACACACGCGGTCAACCTCACGGTGGATGGCCCTTCCAGTTCACCACCAGGGGTTACTCACCAGGTTGTGGACAACGACGACTCCGCCAAACGATGCCTCGACAGCTTCATCAACAATGTCACGCGTAAGAGAGACTCTCCACTGATTCGCGAGCCTCCCAAGCAGCCTCCTGCTAAGCCGGTACTGTCGTGGCAGAGCAGGCGGTTGGCGGCTCAGAGCCTCTCTCGAGTGCCAGCTTCCAAGCGAGGTGAGGTGCTGATCATGCAGCGTATGGGCTACATCAGGGGTCCATCTGTGTCATCCGCTTCGGAGTTGGAGGTCTTTGACAGGCTCTTCGACGGCAACCTGACTGCGTCCGAAGCCGAGGCGCTGGACGAGCTCTTCCCGGCCGTTGGAAAGGCACCGTCCAGGCAGTCGCGAAGATGCAAGGCCACCTAGGCCACAAAGTTGCTTCGATATTGGTTGTTTCCTTTTATGTAATATCGAAACATGAGGTCTTTTGCTAGGATGGTCCAGCTTCGGCTGTGTTAGGTCGACCTCCTTCGGCGCTCGATAGAAGCGTGTTGTATGTTTCTTTAAACTCTTCTCCTTAATACAATGATACGCAAATCTTTTGCGTATTCGAGAGAAAAAAAGGTTGAGCAGATAGGGTGGTATAGTAGTACACACAAAACACTAAAGCCCCCCCAAACGTAGTAAGAACGGTAGTGGTAGCAACAACGTCGGGCAGGTATGGTTGGTACCAAATGCGATGTGCACCGGAGGAGACCCAGGGCTCATGGCACACGCTGCAGATGTTGTTGTTGTTGCTGCTGCCGGTACCAATCGGCTTCTCCCTGCCCTGCGCACGCCGTGCAGATCGCCGCCATCCGCGCCCGCCTCCTGCTCATAACCCACCACATGTTCCTCCTCGGCATCATCATGCCTGCGAGGAGCCTCTTGGCGGCCCTCCTCCTCCTCCGTCATGGATCTCAGCCTAAGAGGCTGGTCTTGGCCGTCCTCCTCCTCCTCCATGGCCCACAGGTGGTGGTGGTGACCAGTGGCGACGGGGACGGTGAAACACAGATCGACACCAATGAAGGGAGCATCGCAAAGCAAAAGCAAGCAACCGAGCGAGTGGAAAAAAGAGGGCTTTGCAATTGCAACACAGTGGCCAAGAGGAGCCCACTCAGGCTTAGTCTTCAGTGACAGCAAGTAGAGGGTTTTGTGGGAAAAAGAATAGAGGGCACAAATCCAGTTTGCATGTATATTTATCTAATTTGTAAAAAAACAGCCTTGAATAATACACTTTTTGTTTTGACTCTCTAAACAAATCTGGACCTAATTACTTCCAAGACGATTTCGATTGGGCCAGCAATACAATCTATCCCGACTCCCCAACGACCCGGCTCCCGCTCCCTGTAACACCCTCGGTGTTACACCCTAAATCATTTACTAAAACATGTCATGAGCATCATGTTTATATGTTAATGCATGTGATAGGATATATAGATAAATTTCTTGTAACTTAAAATGACTAATAAAAATGTTAAACGAAAGTTGATTCAATAGTTCATGTATATCAAGTAGGGTTTAAAACTAATTTTTATTAAGCAAAAATACTATAGAACATGTGTGTGATACTTAAATAAAGTTTGAAGTACAAACTTTGTAGATGACAGTGAAATACTTGCTGTCGAAAAATGATATTACTAGCTAATATTTCCACTAGCTTAGAAATTGCAAATTGAAATCAAGTTCAGCTCAAAAACTTAGAAAATTTCCAAGTATGTCAACTGCTAGACATTACTATGTCTAGCAAATTATTTTGATAGATTGGGTTAAGGGGTGGTGTAGTGTTATAGCTCGATGTGGTAGTCCCATATGCCATCTTGAGCATGGTGAAGATGGTTTGGCTCTTGAAGCAACCGTTTAGTTGTTTTGTGCACTTTAAAATTCGTGCATGACTCGGTCTCGGGCTGGTTGGCCGCGTGGGCGCGGTCACCACGCTCGGGCGCTCGGCATCGCCGCGTTGGTCTCGCATGCGCACGATGCCGCTGGCCTCGCCGCGCAGAGCTGCTGCGACCCGCCCCGCGCCACGACGTAGCCACTGTCGGCGCTATCACCTCGCCGTCGCGTCCGCGCACTGCTGCCTCGCCGCGCTACCGACCCATCTTGCACCGTGAGACTACCGCTGCCGACGCATCGTCGTCACGTCCGTGCCTGTTCGCTGTATCCTCTGTGCCGCTACTGGACTAGTTTGAGCCGCCACTGCTGCGCGCACGTGGTCGGGCTCGTCGTCGTCTTGTCATTTAAGACACTGCAGCCGCGTGGGCCATGCCGGTCGGGGACGCGCGTGCTTGTCCGTAGCGTCTATGCACGTGCCTCCACGTTCACGCCGACCGCATCCCACCAAGGCGAGGATGAGCCGAGCCCACCTGCCGCGCCCCGTCTCTCTCTTTCTTTCTTTCTCCCTCTCCCGTCGCCACGAGTCGCGCCATCCAATTTACCCAGCGAACGATCACCTCCATTCAATTCATTGTATGCACGGCTTCACCATCAGGTCCTCTCGCTGCCTGACCCTACCTAGCCTTGAACCATGCCTGGCCAAGCCCGAATTTGGAGTTTCTTCCGCCGCCGCGCCGATAAGGCCGTGTCCGGCCATGGATGTGGGCAGCCCTTCTACCGTTCCTCCCGAGCCAATTCATTTGCATCACTAGCTTCACCTTGCCTCCCTCTCCACCCTACGCGCCTTAGCCTAACCGCTACCGCATCCCCGTCGTCACTGACGCGACCGTGTCGCCGCGGTGCGTCGTCGCACGGCTCGCCCGCACGTGGCCAGCCCTCGTCCGCCATCCTCCACCCCAACCATCACCTTGGCTAGGTCCACGATAGTCTACTGATACTCCCTCGCTTGCCAGTAAGATTCTTAGGTGCTCTAGATCGCTGGGGCAGCTGTGCTGCCGTAGCGGACGGTCGCGCGTCGCTGCAACTCGCTCGGGCGCGTCCCGCCACCCCTCCACGCCACTTAGCGTAGCCGCTCGGGTCAAAGATGGTGATCGACTCGTTAGGTGGGCCCACGTAGGTCCTAGATGGCGGCGTAGGCGCTCAGTGCCGTCGCTCGCCGCGCCGCCGTGCACTGAGTTGTCGGGGGTGCGCGCAGGTGAATTATGGAAAAATCAGGGGGTTAAGCGAGAAGGTTTGAGAGAGGGGGAAATAGTGTTAGTACTTAGTTGTAATTTGGGAGAAGTGTGAGGTCTATTTTGCAAAATCGTCAGCGCGCGCGAGATTTCTCCGCCGCTGGCCGTCTCCACGTGGGCCTGCGTCGCGTGGGCCACGCGTGTGGGCTGCGCGGGAGAATTCGTTTTTTTCATAACGAATTAGAATAGTTTTCTAATTTAATTTTTGAGCTGATCTTTGTTAAGTCATATAAAATCATGTAGGTGTCCAAAAATTATGAAACAAATTTTGTTAGGTTCCTAAAATTATGCTCTATCTGTTAGTTTATTTAGTTCATATATATACATGTTGATACTAGTCTTAAAATTTTTTGGAGCTATTAAATCATTTAGAAATAAAGCTTAATATTATTAGGTTAAATACTGTAGGAATTTTTGTGGTAAATTGATGATAGTTTTAGTTGAAAGCTCTAGTTTGGTTTTGGTGAATTAATGAAACCCTAAGTGCTAACCTAGTTTATCAAGTGATCATGAGATAGGTAGCACACTCCAAGTGGTGAAGCAGATGAAGATCATAGCATGATAAAGATGATGGCATGGTGATGATCAAGTGCATTCGACTTGGAAAGAAGAATATAAGTGAAAAACAAAAAAGCTCAAGGCAAAGGTATAACTTGTAGGAGTCCTATTTTATTTTGGTGATCAAGACACTTAGAGAGTGTGATCACATTTAGGTTATGATTACTCTCATGATACTATGATAAGAGGAGTGTAGATATCGTATGGGAAATGGTGGTTATCAAAGTGCCACTAGATGCTCTAACTCATTGCATATGCATTTAGGATCTAGTGGAGTGCTAACACCATTGCGATGGTAGTCAAGTTTGTGAACTTATATGCTGAGCACATACTTGTTTATGAACACATGTGCACAAGGTGTTTGCGGGGTTGAGATGGGTTTGGTCCCTCTCACCCCCGGATCTCAAGTGTGGGAGCTTAGAGTCCAAGTTTGGAAGGGACCTAGATCCCATGATAAAATGAAATGTCTGTTTTTCTGGGGTACAAATGGGCGCGTGTGTTTCGGGATGCAAAATTCTTGAAGTGGTTGGCACACTTGAGCATGGTGAAGAAGTAGAAGATAAAAGTTGAAATGGAGTTGATAGAACATGTGCTTACCTAGAATGGTTAGCTAATGAAGTAATCATGGTTGCTAATAAAATTTGACTGTGAGGATGAACTATTAGTGAATCGAAACAAAAAAGCAACAAACCCATATTGCCTATCATATTCATTGGCGTCGAAAAACTATTCCCACTAGTCTTGTAAGTCTTGCAGTACATTATGTACTGGGGTTTCACCCTATTGCAGGTGTGACTTGAGGAGTAGCTCTTGTATGGAGGGTTCTTGTGGTGGACATGAGATGGATCCTTATATCATTTTCGTTAGATGTTTATTTCCATTCATTTGTTTAATTATGGACTTTGAACGTCGGCCGTAATAAAAATTTTTAAGCATCTTGTTGTATAAAAGATTAAGTATTGTAAACTCATTATTAGATCCTAGCGGTAAAAGCGTGAATTGTTTGGGCTTGGGGTGGGCTCGGGCTGTCCGATGTAGCTAACTTTCGGGTGCTTAGTGTCTAGTAAAGGCGGCGCCTCGGCATGTTATTTCGGCGATTCGCCACACTCCTCGGAGACAAAAGCGTCCGGCGAGGTAGGTCGTCACGATGACCGACGATGTAGGTCGGCTTCTCACGGATCTGGCTCTCCTCCTCCACCACCTCTGGATCTAAGCCTCGTCCTCCTCCTTCTCTTCCTCATCCTCTGGATCCGAGCGACATGACGGTAGCTAGGGTTCCAGTGAGCTCTGGACGCCTATTCCTCCTCCCTCCCGGTGTGAGCTCGAAGGTGATGGGCTGAGTCCCCTGTTGTTTTGTACATCCTTGATGTTTCTCCGTGTTATGGGTTTTTTTTGCGATGATTTTGCGATGTTACAATGGGATTTTTGGGTTATATGCCAATGTTGCAAATGTTTCCACATTTCCATGTGATTTTTGCGATGTTTTACTCTTGTTTGAGACGCATAATTTTTTGTTTCATACTTTTTGATGGTTACATATATTTTTGGGTTGCGGGCATGGATGTTGCACTACATAATTTTGTAATGGTGCGGGATGTTGTAGTACGGGACATATTTTGTGGCACGATGTTTCAATTTTATCTTACACTGGGCATGTTGCACTTTGGGGCGGAGGACAGGAGTGCGCTGGGAGCGCGGTGGCGTGGTGGTGCGCAATTCCATTCCATTCTATTTTGATCCGCTTTCTATTCCGATCCGCTTTTCATTCCGTTCTATTCCGATGCATGGGGCGGGCGGGTTTGGGAAGGGGAGCGGCATCCGGACGCATCTCACGCACCGGACGTCCGGACGCTAGGATACGTTGCATGAAATACGGCAACGAACAATTAAGTTGCTTATTAATTAATGGAGCATTATATTATTTATTCCCCTAATAATCAAGACATAATAGTGGCAATGATATATATGTGCCCACCAACGGTGTTTACTAGCTGTGCTTCTGCTTCTGCAGCTGCAGCAGTAAATTTTTTTCTTCACAAATTAAATACGGAGGAGAGGTGCATGCATGCAGCAGTTGAGAATCGAATCGAATAATCACAATTACTTTAGGGTAAGGGGCAAGATGTAGTAGAGCAAGGCGGCCATGAGGAAGGGAGCGAAGAGCGCGGCAGCAAACGACATGATGATCCCAGCCGCGGCCTCGTCGCTGCGCCGAGCCACCACCGCTCTGAGGCGGGCCACCTCCGCGACGCCCTCCGCGATGAGATGAGCTATCTC